GTCAAAAGATCGGATCTGTGCATTAAGACTAGCAGTGTAAATGCAGCCATAGAAATTAAGTGAAGACTGTTCTGGAAATCTCATACCACTACTTATGTTGTACAAAAGAATGTATAACATTCATTCAGTCCGAAACATTTACTTTTCTAATATTTCTTAACAACAGCTCCCCCTGTTGACCCCTGCTACAACTACAATGTCCTGGATGATCTATGGAGAGCCACCAACAATCAACATTCCTCTCAAATAATGTGTGACTATTGGGTCAGCTGGAATGGCTGGTACCGTCTCTTCATTCAAGGTCAAAGCGTTCAGATGCCAGACACATGTGTTGATGAGTATAGTTGTGGCACTATTGCTCCACTGTGGCTGAACGGAGGACATCCAACAGTTGAGGATGGAGTGGTCACTCGAGATATCTGCGGTCACTGGGACAATAACTGCTGCTATTTCCAATCCAATCCCATTAAAGTCAAAGCCTGTCCAGGAGGGTATTATGTCTATGAGTTTGTGAGCCCAACTATCTGCTATTTGGCATACTGTGCAGGTAAATATATTGACATGTGCTCTCTGTTTTTGTAAGAGATTATTACTTTGTGTAATATTCATTATTCTTTTTTTAATTGTCTACATTGTCATGTCAGAGACAACCACAACCGAAACTACAGCCAAAACCACAACCACAAAAACCACACCCGAAATCACAAGGACTGGTAATATAATGTGTTTCATAACAATCTGGAGGATTATTATTTTACATGAGCAAATCAGACCCATGTTATGTGTTCGTAACACATGTAAAGAGTTCTCATTAAATAGTGTTTAATCTTTTGTTGCAGAACTAATTCCTTTCCAGATTGCCATGTGTACTCAATGCAGGATCTACAGTTGCTAGCTGAAATGATTTTCCCAAGAATCTATTACTAATTTGATCGTACAGAATGATTTTTTTTTTAATCTAAAAATGTGGAAAGTTTTGAGTGAGGTACGGTAAGATTCATAGATTTGCATCGGTGCATTGGCATAAAAGTTTAACGATGCGATGCGATGCATTGATTTAAAAAGTGTGCATCAGTTGGCATTTGTATCGCGATGCATCATTTCTAACATATTTGCATAGCTAAAAACCGGTTTATTTATATATAATTATTAGTAGATGTGCTGTACTTTTATTTAGAAAGGGACCACTAATTTGTGACCAATATTTTATAATTAGATTGATTTCTCCTCTCTAAACTGTTTCTCAAGCGCGTTCTCTCATCACCCCTGCTGCTTCGTGAATATGATGAATCAACACTATGGAGGCGTGTCCTGACAGTCACATAGAATATAGATTAACATGGCATAGGTAGAGCTGCATCTTCCACCAAATAATTACAATGAACCAAAGAATCTATCTGTACCATATTGAATTGCATAGCTTCTTATTTTTTTCTATTGCATCATATTGAATTGTTGAATCATGACTTTATCCCACTCCTGACATGATGCATCATTTCTAACATATTTGCATAGCTAAAAACCGGTTTATTTATATATAATTATTAGTAGATGTGCTGTACTTTTATTATTTAGAAAGGGACCACTAATTTGTGACCAATATTTTATAATTAGATTGATTTCTCCTCTCTAAACTGTTTCTCAAGCGCGTTCTCTCATCACCCCTGCTGCTTCGTGAATATGATGAATCAACACTATGGAGGCGTGTCCTGACAGTCACATAGAATATAGATTAACATGGCATAGGTAGAGCTGCATCTTCCACCAAATAATTACAATGAACCAAAGAATCTATCTGTACCATATTGAATTGCATAGCTTCTTATTTTTTTCTATTGCATCATATTGAATTGTTGAATCATGACTTTATCCCACTCCTGACACACACATTTAAGCAGCTCAGCCTTGTTTGATGGCTTTGCCCCTGTAACAGAGAGGCAGTGGCGTTAGGATCCATGTGCAGCTTTATTAGTTTACAAGGCAGGTCGTACAGGCATAAATCGTTAACTGGCGTAAGAAACAACGAAGGCTAGGCAGAGTTGTAAACAATGTTCATAATAAGGGTCGAGGCAGGCAGCAGACAATCAATGGCATGAATCAACAAGGCAGGCAGGGTCAGAATAGGTAGGCAGCAAGCAATCGTAAACGGGTAAACAGTCCAGGTAATCAACAGATATTCAACACAGGGGAAAACGCTCAGAAATGTCTGCAAGGCAAAACAAGACTTCGAAATGAGAGCAGGGAAGGCACAGTTTAAATAGACCGGGCAATAGGAAACACCTGTGCAGGTGATTGGTCTCTAGTATGGGGCATTGTGGGAATTGGAGTCCGAAGGGATCGCTAGTACTCCGGTGATGGTTCCCTCTGGTGGTGATCGGAGGGAGCCACAGAGGCTGAATTTGTGACAGCCCCTTAAACCCAAGGTGTACCGCCCCCCGGTAATTTTTGTGTCTTTGTGTCTGGGGGATCAGAAGAGAAATAAATGATTAAATTGTTTGATTGGTTTATTACGTTTACATTTACATTTTTTTTTTTTTTTTTTGCATTTAGCAAACGCTATTTTACAAAACAATTTGTCCTCCTAGTTAATAGAAATCCCTGTTCTGAACTCAGCTGCTCTGAGGACGAAAGGTGCGGGATGAAAAATGGTGTTTACGGCTGTTTGTGTGAAAAGGACCATCACAGACAACAACAACATCATGACTCTTTTGGTTGGTATCAGTCCAGAACTAAATGTCAAAAAAATTCATTAGTCATTCATTACCTTGGCTTTTTTTCTCTCAGATTTCTCAGAAACCTGTGAAAGCAGCTCTGGCTCCATGTCTGTGTCTCGCTGTCAGCTCTTTGAGGCTGGTTTTCCAGCTGACATCTTACACCTCAATGATCCCAGCTGCAAAGGAACAGTCAGGAATGGCAGAGTGGAATTCCATTTTGATAATGATGAACATATCTGTGCTACAAATCTTCTGGTAGGATTATGTATTATCTATTCAAATACACCATCCAAACATTCGTAGTGCCTTTTAAAACCAGCAGTTGGATTTGGAGTGGGATTTGAACAATTGGAAAATCTCTCTGAGACTTTGAGAATATCTATGGAGGATTATTTAATACCTTTATTTAACCAGGAATATACTCACTTTGATTAAAACCTCTTTTCCAGGAGTGTCCTGGACAAGATGGGCAGCCGAGTTTGCATATACAAATAAACAACATAGTTACAACATACATTACAAAACCAACATATAACCGGTTAAAAACAATTACACACCATTAAGTTGCTCTCTAGATTACATAATAAGGACTTAAAATAATTATAAGACACCAAGTTCTGTAACTTCATCTCCTTTTGGAGAAGATTCCAATCTGAGGCGGCAGCATATTTAAAAGAGGTTTTACCAAGCTCAGTTCTGACAAAGGGCACACAGAGATTGTAATTTGATTGAGAACGTAATGAATGATTTCCAAATAAAGTCCTTTGTATAAAACAACAGCGATAATTTGGCAAATGACCCAAAATTGCCTTATATATCAACAAATGCCAGTGCATTTTTCTCCGAATTCTCAAGGAAGGCCATGCAACTCTTTCACAATGATGAGTTAAAAATTTACAATCAGT